AAAGCACTTTGGATCTCTGTGTCAGAAAGGTGCTATATAGATAAAGCTTTACTTACTTACTTACTTACCTTTGTTCCTGACAGACAAGAGTCATAATTAATACAGCTACCAGAGGTACTTTTTTTTCTTTCTTTGCCCGTAAAGTAGGTTCAACTGACAAAATACTTGGGTTTTGCATGTTATATCATTGTCTGATTTGGAAACCATGTCTCCCAACCGGTGCAGTCAGTAAGTCATCTCTGGGGATACAAAAATCCAGAAATTGAATATCTAGGTGGCCTATTTGCCAACATTTTGGCAGTCCATGCATGTGGTAGTGTTTTCGAATGCTTCTTGTCAATTAAATAATAAACAAGAATACAAATATGCTTGGACCCTATGGCTATATTTTTTTTGTCTTTTTTTAAGAACACATCTCCAACTCTCAAACCAACAAATGTACCGTAGCTTTAAAATTAAAAGGCTATCTCTCTTGAACTCAGTCTATCCCTCTTCATGCAAAGCCTTGACAATGTTGGTCACATTTCGACCACTTTGGCCCTTTCACACACATTCACTCACATTCATTTACATTCACACATCGATGCACAGCATTGGGTGGAATTTGGGTTTTTTAAATACTCACTTAAAGGTTCTTTCCTTCTTATTCTTTAGTTAAAATGTTTTATTTTATTTTATGTACAGTAGGCTACTATAACAGTATAATGACACAATTTATTGCTGACACCAGGCATCCCATTAATGCGCATATCCGGTTATGTTTTAGTGTTAGTTGAGTGTAACTGTAATGCTGTGTGAGTGTTAATCTTTGTTGAAAATAAAATAAAATAAAAACACCAACTGAGCTCTAGAGACTGAGCTGAGCTGTGTTGTGAGCCGGTGGATGATTTCATTATTCAAGTGTGTCAGAGTGTGTTCTGATAACACACTCTGCAGTGCACTTGTCTTCTGATGTTAATTTACTGGAAATACAAGTCACACAAATACACACGCATAACATCAGACAGTATTGTTTATGTTTGGAACGGTTTCATTTTGGTGTGTGCAATATAATGATTTTGAGGCTCAAGTGGAACAGTCAGAAGTAACTTTAAGTAACTCAAGTTTTGGGCCAAAAGTAGCAGCCTGAAGGAGCATAGACTGGTCAAATGACCTCACTTTGAAAAATGTCCACACTTACAAGGTCTGAACCCAAACTGGTTCTAACAAGGACAGACTTTACTCAACACACACACACACCTCTCCCACATGAGATGCAGACAGTGTTTAGCCTGGAGGCTCTGCTCTACTGCATTACTCGCTTCAGAGGCTAACAAAGCAGAGAGCCATCTGGCCTTATCAGCCCCTTTAGACTGAGCACAGAGACACGGTGCAGGCTGGACAGGACAGGCAGCACACATTATGCACCTGTATCACAGAGAGTGACCGGAGGAGAGACACACATAGACTGACAGAGAGAGAGAGAGACAGAGATGTAGGGGTGGGGGATTTGAGAGCAAGATAGATGACAAAATGAAGCAGAAAGAGCTTGGAAATGAGTGGAGGGGACTGGCCTGAGAGAGGGGGAAAGCTAGAGGGAGTGGAGGCATTCTGGCTCTGTGTTATAGGGATTGAGGTAGAGATTAACTGTCCTGAGCCAGCGACACAAATAAACACAATTTCAGACTACTGCAAATACTTTTCACTGGATTTTTGTTTGAAGGCCAAAACCAATATTTTGATATTGAATTTGATTGGAAGGGTTGTCTCTTCCCAGACCGCAGTATAATCCCGGCTTCAGTCCTTTTGACAGAATGACACAAAACTGGCCTCCACCAGCAGAAAACCACCAGACCTCGAAATGTGCAAATTCCTCCAGCCGCCTCATGCAGACATGAAAACAGCCCCAATAATACAAGAAATACATTTGATTGTAATTTTCCTCTAGTAAAGAGTAGTTGACATTATAAATGCAACTTTCTTCTGCATGTCCTGTCTCACATACAGACACAGGGGAGTAAGGAAGATAAGGGGAGGATATTTTTTTCTCCTTAAGCATGGAAAGACAGACAGAGATCAGAAAGCAAGGGGAGCTGAGCATACATATTAGGGTTCTGCATTCAAGCTCCCAGTGATAGACTTTGATAGATAGGTAGTTTATAGCATCATTCAAAGCTGTAGCCATGGAGTCTATACTGGTGGCAACTGATTAGCACTCGCAAATCAGTTCGTTTTCAGCAAAAACTTTTGTTTCCACTTCATGCAACTACTGACACTTTTTGGCAAAAATATTATTTCTACATTTACAGTTTTAGTGCAAAATTACGTTAATGTCACCTTTTCATGCATGTCCAGTTGAATTTAGAGCTACAATCTGTAACATTTCTGCATTAAAATGTCTATAAACTCTAGAGCTATATTCTATATGGAGTTGAGTTGTGTACTTCCATTATCCCAAATGTTCAAACTCAGAGAAATCTGTCATTTTACCATCAACTGATCTTGGTAGGGATTGGAAGGATTTTAGTCATTGGATGTCTGGATCGACAAGCTTGGAGCTAACGTTACACACTTCCGGCTCCAGCCCCTCGGACATCTTTGTTCTGGCAAACGCCGTGGAAGAAACAGTGATTTTTTAAGGTGGACTGCTTTATTCAGTTGTTTTTTAGCGGTTTTTATCAGTGGAGTTTCCATTTTTGTTTGTTTTTTTGGAAGTGAAGGAACACTCTTGTGGAACAGGTTGG